GGGAAGGAATGAGTGACCTACCATTTATGTAGCTTCCCACTATGCTGGGCATTTCCGTGGGTCATCTCCCTGAACAGGATAAGCAGCCCTGTGGATAGATGTATTATTATCCCCCCAACCAAATTCTAAGCGCTGGGAGGGCAGGGCACACACCACCTGTCCAGTTCACTATCATTTCTGTTGCTTAGCATGGTACCTAGCGTGTAGAAATGACCACACACATATGGACTGGATGAAATCAGTTACTGGGTAGGATAGTGAGAGGCTCAGAGTGAGAACTTACTTGCCCAGTTATACAGTCAGATCTTCCCTATCTTCTGTGGTTTCAAAGCCCTTGAATGGGTGGCGACAGCCACCTGCTATCTTCCCGGATCTTAGGACCTCTTCCACTCCCATCCAGGTGACATCATCCAGAAAATCATTCCCAACCATGAGCTGGTTGGGGAGCTGGCGGGACTCTATCTGGAAAGCATCAGCCCAAGCAGTCGCAATCCTGCCAATGTGGAACCTGCTGTGCCTAGCACCGGCCCTGAGTGGGACCCCCAGGGTGAAGTCTGTCCCCAGGATGATGGCCACTCAGGGACCTTTGGGAGTGTTCTCATTGGGAATCGCATACAGATCCCCAATGACTCTCAGCCTGAGAGCACTGGCCCATTGGGCCCCATCTCTGGAGTGGGTGGGGGGGGCCTTGGCAATGGGAGGGAAGACAACGCCCTGAAGCGGGAGCTGCCACGGAGTGCCCACGGGCTGAGTGGGAACTGGCTGGCGTACTGGCAGTATGAGATTGGTGTGAACCAGCAGGATGCCCACTTCCACTTCCACCAGATCCGCCTGCAGAGCTTCACCGGCCACTCAGGGGCTGTCAAGTGTGTGGCACCCCTGAGTAGCGAAGACTTCTTTCTGAGTGGCAGTAAGGATCGTACTGTGCGCCTCTGGCCACTGTATAACTATGGGGATGGTACCAGTGAGACAGCCCCCCGACTCATCTATGCCCAGCACCGCAAGAGTGTCTTCTACGCGGGCCAGCTCGAGGCTCTGCAGTATGTGGTGAGCTGTGACGGGGCTGTACACGTCTGGGACCCCTTCACAGGTGAGCGGGCCCAGGTGAGGCCTGTTTTGTTGCTGCTGGACCTCGCTCTGACAGGCCCCTGGGAATTGATCCTGAGAGTTGGGGGATATAGTGGTATGTTTTAGGGAGAGATTCAGTGAGGCTATACAGAGGAGCAGTTAGAGCTTAGAATGTTTTAGATCTGCATTTGCATCAGCTCCACCACCTTACTTGCTTGTGAACTTGAGCAAGTCATTGTGCTGTTGGAAGCGTTGATTTTCCCATCTGTAAAGTAGGAATTAGAAAAAGTGGTTTAGAAGATAACACACTTAGAGGTTTGGCTTGATGCATGTAGTACAAGTTTGGCAAACCATTGCTTAATTACTCATTGGCATTATCATAGGGAAAATATGGTTAAAGAGGAGAAGGGAAAAAATAAAAGGGACAGGTGTAATGTTGGGACAGAAAGAGGGAGATGGTATCTAATCAGGGGATACCATGTAAAGAGAAGACATTGCTTTGGGAATGGGAGCCTGATCTGATCATAGAAGCAGGAAGGAGGGAGAGTCTGGAAACATCTTTAGCATTTTCTGAGTATCCTTGGGGAATGAGAGACAGGGGACAAGAAAGAGTCAGGGTTCTTCCCTCAGCTAGGACCCCAGATCCACTGTGCCCTTCCTTTTCAGGGAAGACACTTCGCACAGTGGAGCCATCGGACAGCCGTGTGCCCCTGACTGCTGTGGCTGTCATGCCTGCCCCCCACACCAGCATCACCATGGCCAGCTCTGACTCTACCCTGCGCTTTGTAGACTGCAGGAAGCCTGGCCTGCAGGTCAGGGGATATGCAGTTTCCTGAGCTCAGGCCTGGTTCTCTGGGGACCTGGCAGTGAGGAGGATACACACCAAGACAGAAAGGCAGACCGCTGCCCTGGGGCACTGGTTAATTTCTCTTTGGAGATAAATCATCCTCAGCAGCAACCCTGGGGACAGGACTCTGGCCTATGATGGGGGTGGGTTCTGGGCTTTTCCTTTCCTCAGATGGGGCCAGAGGCTCAGGCTTTCTGGCTGAAGAAGCTTAAATGGTGAGCGGGACCTGGGGGCAAGAGGGTGGGGTGACTTAGTGACAGCACCTCAGCAGAGTCTCCCTCTGTCTGCAGCACGAGTTCCGCCTGGGTGGCGGGCTGAATCCTGGGCTTGTCCGCTCCCTAGCGGTCAGCCCCAGTGGCCGTAGCGTCGTGGCTGGCTTCTCCTCAGGCTTCATGGTGCTCCTGGACACTCGCACAGGCTTGGTTCTACGAGGCTGGCCAGCTCATGAGGGGGACATTCTGCAGATCAAGGTGATGGGCTCAGTTCCCGTCTACTCCTTACTGCCCAACCTCGGTTCATCACCTGGGCTCAAGGCCCACCCAGGGACAGGCTTGAGCTGGTGTCCCTTATATCTGCTCAAGGCCTGATGGGCAGGGAAGGTGACTCTTCTGGGCCAACTCAGGTGCCAGCTGCACTGCTAAGGCCTTGGCAGGAGACAGGCCGTGGAGGCGGGGACCAAGGGCAGAGCTGACCCTGCAGCTCCATGGAGATGTTCTAATGAGTAACCCTTGTCCATATTTGTCTTGCTTGGAGGGTCAGGGGTCGGGCCCTGTCCGTGACCCAATTCAGGTTAAATAAAGCTCAGCTGGGAGGCTGTTTACTGCCCCCAGACCACTGAGCAGAGTCCATGCCCCCTGCTGGGCTGCTCTGGTGGGGGCAGGAGCAGGCCTGGGCATGGGGATCCTACTCTCCTCCACCCCATTTTCAGTCACAGGCCTGGGGACTAGTTAGCAGTCCAGCAGGGAAGGAGGGCTACTTGTGGGGAAGATTTCTACAGGCAACTGGAACCCTCTTCCCCAGCTTGGGTGGAGACCAGGGGACATGTGTTGTTGTTGCTGAGGCCAGGCTGTCCCCATCTCCCTTCAGATTTCAAGTATCTCTAAATTCTGACATTCTAAGAAAGTGTCAGAAAGGCCTTGGTATTAATCTTGGTTCTGCCACTTACTAGCTCTATGATCCTGTTAGGATTAATTAATTTCTGTGAACCTCATTTTTTCCCTCTAAAAAATGGGGACAATGGCAGCATCTCCCCCATAGGGTTGTCCTGAAGATTAAATGTGGTCATTAATATGGGCAGTATGCCTAGCATAATACCTGTGGATGGTAAGTTCTCAAATGAGAGAATGATTAGGTTAATGACACTGAATATATCAATGTTAACTATGGTTAATATGATGTGGCAGGGTGGCAGCCTGTCATCCCTCAAGATGGCCTGTCTGAGCTGGGCACTGTGGCTCATGCCTGTAATTCCAGTGGTGTGAGAGGCTGAGGCAGGATGATTGCAAGTTAGAGGCCATCCTCAGAACTTAGTGAGACCCTGTCTCTAAATAAAATATAAAGAAAGGCTTTGGATGTGGCTCAGTAGTTAAGTGCCCCTGGGTCAATCCCTTGTACTCCCCCCAAAAAAAACAAAACAAAACAAAACAAGGCCTGTCTCTCCTGGGCAATGTGGGAGGCAATGGGTATACAGGTGGGTCCAGGCCGTTGCTGAGAATCTCCTCTTCTCTGGCAGGCAGTGGAAGGCAGTGTCCTGGTCAGCTCCTCCTCTGACCACTCCTTGACCGTCTGGAAGGAACTGGAACAGAAGCCCACACACCACTATAAGTCAGCATCCGACCCCATCCATACCTTCGACCTCTATGGCAACGAGGTGGTCACTGGCACTGTGGCCAACAAGATTGGTGTCTGCTCCCTGCTTGAGCCACCCTCCCAGGCTACCACAAAACTCAGTTCTGAGAACTTCCGTGGCACACTTACCAGCCTGGCCTTACTGCCCACTAAACGCCATCTCCTGCTGGGCTCGGACAATGGTGTCATTCGCCTCCTGGCATAGGCTGAGGGACCAGTGGGCTGGCATCTCCCTAGAGTCTAGATCTTCAACCTTGTTCCCCCAGCAGCTCCCTCGAGGCTGCCCCCAGTCCCCTTTCCCTGCCAGCTAAGGCCTCCACCTGAGATTCCAGCCCTTGAATCCTCAAAGCCATGAGGCTGCCAGAGGTCTCCCATTCAGGGCTTGGAAGATGCTGCTCCTAGTCAACGGGAAGCAAGGAGAGCAGGGGAGGCATCTCGTTTCTCCCCAGCTCTGCCCTCTGGATCCACATGGGGATCCACAAGGAAGTTCCAGGAAGGGGAAGGGAGACTGGCCTTGCCAGCTAGTCTCTAGGAAAGCCCCTGCCCCTTTCTGGGCTCTCTCTGTCCCTGTCCCTCAAGAACAGGAAGCTGCCCCAGAGCAGGGCACTGATGGTGCTTGGATTTCAGCCTAAGGAGGGATGACCATGATCCAGGAGTTAAGGGCCTTGGTCTGGGGTTTAAGTGTTCACCCAGCCTGCCCCAGAAAGAGGGCAGAACTGGATACAAAAGGTGGGCTGGGCCAGCTGGTGCCTGCCAGGAGTGACCTATGCCTTGTCTGCCCACCCCTAACCACAGTGTTTGTGCCTTGAGCTGAGGAGGTAGCCTCTGGGCCCAGAACCTCTGGAGGTGTCCAAGATCCTGAGAGGGGAGAGAAGACTCATCTCTGCATCTCAGGTCTCTCCCAGGGGACAGAACCAGTTGTCTCTGGGTCCTAATCTGGAGCAGACATGAGGACTGAGGCTCATGGCCCCTGCTACCTCCTTACTATTTGCAATAGATGTAAATATTACAATAAATCCTTTGGAAGAGCCATGGAGTAGAGTGAGCTTTGTCTTTTTATTTTCTTTTCCTTTCTTCCCTTCTTTCCTTCCTTCCTTCCTTTTGGTACCAGGGATTGATCCCAGAGGTGCTTAACCACTGAGCCACATCATCAGCCTATTTTATTTTTATTTTGAGACAGGGTCTCACTAAATTGCTTAGGGCCTCACTAAATTGCTAGGGCTGTCTGAACTTGCAAGCCTCCTAAGCCACTGGGATTACAAGCTTGCACCACCCCATCTGGGTCTCTTTTTTTGAGACAAGGTATCACCATGTTTCCCAAGCTTACCTCAAGGGATGCTCCTGGTTGACCTCCCAAGTAGTTGGAGTTATAGTCGCACACCACCAAACCAAACTTATGACTTGTCTTAATGGTGGTGGCAGGGTGGGGACAATTGAAACTCAGCAGCTGGGTCTAGGAGATGAAGAACAGGGCAGGAAGGTGGGAAAGCAGCCTGATTGTTATTGCTCTTTGGGTGGCAGAGGGTGTAGGGCTTCTGGTTTGTGCAGCCTCAAATCAGTTTTCCAAACCCTCATTCTTAGGAAGAGTAAGCAAGTCTTGCTCCTCATGAGGTAGGACACTTGTGGAGACTGCAACCCTCTCTCTCCTCTCTCCATGCCCTGACTTCTGGCTCACGCTGAATGCAGCCAGCCAGGATCTGGGGTTTGTAAGGGATGCGGGTGGGTCTCTGCATGGGCTTGTGCAGCCTCACTTTCCCTCCCCTTGGGATTGGGGAGGCAGCTGTGGGGGGAGGAGAGGACACTGGAAACAGGAAACTGGATGTGACTCTGGATCCAGCTCTGTGTCCTTGGGCAGGGCACATAGCCTCTCTGAGATGGACTGAACAGGGATAATCTCCACTGGGAGGTCTGACATAGTGCGAGACCCCTGTGTGTCCTGGATTGGACCTGGTCTTGGCTGACCAGATCCAGCATCCTCAACTGTCTCCTTCTGAACGTCCATTCTCCAGGCTCAGGTGGATCCAAATCCACAGAGGCTTTGGGTAACTGTTTCAAGACTAGATACCCCTGTAGAAAAGGGGCTTCTGGCACTCATATCAATGTTTAACCGGATGTTCAGGTCAATATTTACCAGAAGAGAAAGCTATCTGAACAGGGGTTGGCTAAGAGCAAAGGTCCTGGTGGGAGGGGAGGGCTAGGCTGGGCTGGTGGAGCCCGCCAGAGCGTGGGGAGCACCGAGTTGGGCCAGAGGAACATCGTGTGCAGCAGCAAGGAACCTGTCGAGGTAGGGTGGAGGGGTGGCTCAGCCTGCCCCTGGGGCAGGAGTGGAGGTGGGGAGCTGCTTACTTGGATGAGGGGTCTGGGCTGAATTTATTCAGGAAGCCTGTAGTTTTGCAGCCTCCTGGGGTAATGAGGAGTCAAGGTGGGGGTTCCAGAAGAAGTCCCTCTGGGACTTGAGAGATAAGGTCTTTCTTGCTAGGAAGAGTCAAATGCCCAGGTTGGAGACCAGGCTGGCCAAGGGCCCTTGTATATGATGGGGGTGGGCTCAGGAATGATAGAAGGATCCTCTAGAAGGATTGGCCCTGAGATAGGGGAGGGATAGAGATGGGGGATGTGAGACCATCTCTTAGGCCAAGGCTGGGGCTGATTTATCCTCCCCTAAATCAAGACATGCTACTGGGCGTGGTGGCACATGCCTGTAATCCCAGCGGCTTGGGAGGCTGAGACAGGAGAAAAGCGAGTTCAAAGCCAGTCTCAGCAAAAGCAAGGCGCTAAGCAATTCAGTGAGACCCTGTCTCTAAATAAAATACAAAATAGGGCTAGGAATGTGGCCCAGTGGTCGAGTGCCCCTGAGTTTAATCCATAGTTACTCCCCATCCCCCGCAAAAAAAAAAGACATGCCCATTCCCACCTATCAGCCTGATTTTCCTGAACTGGCGTGGAACAGAGCAGGGGGCGAGGCTTGTGATTCCCGTAAGTCCAAAGGTGGCTGGACCAGTCATTCATTGGGCTCTGCTGCTGGGTCAAGGAGGCAGTCCTCTGTCCACCCCACCACGCCTGCTGAGCCTCAGGGCTTCACGGTCCTGTCCACTATTGTTGGCAATACCCAACCAACCTGAGAAAGACTGACCAAACAGACAGCAGGCTGGGTAGGCTCTCTGGTGTGGGAGCCCTTCCGAGAGGCTCAGGACAGGCTTCCACGGTAGTGGCCCTGGAGCTAGCCTGACAGCTTTCTTCCACAGAGGGCCAGGCCTTGTCCTCAGCATTTATAAAGACTGTCTTTTTTGGTTCTCACAATCCACATGGGAGGAGGCGGGGACTTCTGCCACCATTTTCCAAGACAAGGCAGGTACCTGAGGCCTCCAGCCAAGAGGCAGAGCCTAGATGCAAACCCATGTCTGATGAACAATGCAAGCCCTAGAAGAATGAGAACTCTTTAACAACTCCCGATGAACCAAAATGTCCTTAGTGAATGAAATGGGAAGACCTAGAAATGATAAAGGCGAAAACAGTTGGAGGGAATCCCATCCTTCAGATTGAGAACCACTGCTAATGTGTTCTTAGTGTGCATCCTGGTTCTGTAGCTTGGCTGAGTCAGGGTATGTGTGGGTAGGATTCCACCACCTGGTGTGGGAGCTTGAGATGGAAACTAAGCCTTCCTGTCCCTGACACAGGAACATGACACTGCTCCGAGGGCTCCTGGTGCTCAGCTTGTCTTGCCTGCAAGGCCCCTGCTCCGTGGTGAGGTTGGGCTGAGTTCTGGGTGGGGCTGGTCAGTCAAGTTGAAGAAGTGGCTGGTGGGGGAAAGCCGTGGGGCTGAAGGGGTTTGGGTCCAGGGAGGGCTTGGCTCAAGGGGGCTCCCCTACCTCGCCTCACCCTTTTCTCAACAGTTCTCTCCTGTGAGCGCCATGGAGCCCTTGGACCAGCAAGTAATGGGCGATGAGGTGCATGTGAGAGAAGGGAGGACCTGAGGGGTCTCGCCTGTGGCTTGGGCAGGGTGTGGGACCTGTAGAGAGGATCGCTCTCCATCTGCTTCCTCCTTCTGCAGTCAATTATCGGGCAGGCCCAGGAGAAGCTGTCCCCGCTTGCCCTCCTCAAATTGGGCAACCAGGTACAACCAGGTGGGGCTGGGGAAGAGTGGGCAGGGCCAGAGGGAGAAGGGCCAATCAGCAGGGGTGAGGAAACTGGGAGGCGTGGCCATGAGGCTGAACCTCAGGGGTTCAGAGGCCAGAAGGGATCAGGTAGGAAGGACCCTCAGGTGGCCTCCCACTACCCTAAGGGCTGGGACAAGGCCCTGCCACAATCAGCCACAGGGTCTATGAAGGAGACATTCAATGTAGTACCTGGAGCTGACGCTTCTGACCTCACTGCCCACAATCTGTCCTTGTAGGAGCCTGGTGGCCCAACTGCCCTGAAGAGGTCCCCAGGAGACTGCAAAGGTGCCCCAACTCCAGAGGAGACTCGCAGGCTGGCTCAGGCCATAATGTCTTTCACCGCTGACTTGTTCTCCCTGGTGGCCCAAAGTTCCACCAGCCCCAACCTCATCCTGTCGCCCTTGAGTGTGGCCCTGGCTCTGTCTCACCTGGCACTAGGTACTGTGGCAGCACCTATCCAGACCAGCAGAACTGAGAGGCCAGTAGGAACTCACTACTCCAGAGGTTATCAGTGGATGGCT